ATCTCTCTGGCAACTGCCCTCACTTTCCCTTGAATATGTATCTAGTTTTCTAAATAAACGTCTGTCTGTGCCTTAAAAAAAAAAAAAAAAGAGGTGGGACCTATTAGGAGGGCTTTAGGTCACCTTCAAAGTGATAAGGTGACTCTAGCCCCTTCTTCATCCTTTCTTTTGCTTCCTTCCAATGAGGTGAGTAGTTTTGCTTTGCCAATGTACTCTATTCATTTATTTTGTGGTGCTGGGGATTGAACCCAGGGCCTTGTGCATACTAGGCAAGCACTCTACCAAGTGAGGTAAATCCCCAGCTCCAATGTACTCTTGTCACATTGTGCTTCCTCATCACAGGCCCAAAGCCATGGGGCCAACTGATCATGGACTGGAACTTCCAAAACTGTCAGCCAAAGTAAACCTTTTCCCTTTATAAGTTAATCATCTCAGATATTTTGTTATACTGATGGAAAGCTGACTAATGCCTCAGCATATAAGTAGTAAACATTAGTGTATCATCTAGTCTTTATTTTCTTATAAGGGCTCGTGTCATGCAAAAATTCTATTAAATAGGGCTGGAGGTGTAGTTCATTGGTACTGTGCTTGTTCAGCAGGTGTGTGACACTGTATTTGATACCCAATAAACAAACAAAAAAGCCAAAAAACTATATTATATACATTTGTATGCTTTTCTCCTATTAGTCTGAATTTATGTCAATTGAATACTCAGGCCAACCGAAAAGCCCTAAGAGGATAGGTGCAAAATTTTGCCTCCTCTATATGGCAAATTATTTATTGATGGTTATATAGGAGAATATTCTTGTTTGTAGAAATTACACACTAAAGTATTTAGGAGTGATGAGACATCATTTTGGCAATTTACTCTGAAATGATTCAAATACTTGTAATGGCTCTGAAAATCTGGATTATTCCATCTAAAAAAAAAAAAAGCAAATCAGATCACATCCTATCTACCTTACCTTCCAATGACTTCCAAAGAATTTTTGAAAAAAAGCCAAGATGTTTACCATGGCTTACAAGATGTACATGATCTGGCCCACTTGCTTCTCCTATCTCATTTATTAACATCTTCCCTGCACTCATTACACTCCAGACAACTGACCACATTACTGTTCTTTTAACAGACTGAGCAATACACCTCAAACATACAAGGTTTTTGTACTTGTGATTCCCTTTGCTGGGAATTCTTTTCACCCCTCTTCTAGATCTTTCCTAAAATGTCACTTCCTCAAAGAAGCCTTCCCTGACGCTTGTCTTCCTTATTTATATTTATCGTTACCTCAAACATTCCACATATATGGTTTTCTGCCTCCTTCCATAAGAGTAAGTACCATGTTTTACTCAATATTGTACCCTCAGTGCCTACAGTAGTGGTAGATAATTAGTAAGTAGTTAAATGAACAAAGATAAGTTGCATGTGTTACTCATTGCCTTTTGTGTACAATAGTATCTAGCCACCTAATTAAAGATAAATCAACCAAACTTCAAATTTATTCATGGATTAAAGAATCCACAAATTAAGAATTCTATAATGTATTATACCTAGCAGAGGCAGGGTATGAGAAACAAACAATTAAGCATCTCTAATACCACTTTTCCTTATGAAAACTCAACATAAACCTTTAAGCTTCCCATACAAATAGGGTCATTAAAAGTACTTGATTTTTCTTGTAATTCTGAGTTTCATTTCACATAATTTAAATCAGAAACCCTAACCTTATCTCCCAAAATGTTGACCATGAGCATCAATGTCAGATTAGCATATTAAAGGAGATAAATGCCAATTCGAACTCAAATAAACAAAACTAGGAGGATATCTCAGCTTCTAGAGCCTGTTTTCCACTTTATGTGGTCTGACAGTCCTCCTCACAGATGTGCCCTCAGAGGTAAAGCTCTTAAATCTAAAACCACAGCTCCCTAGACATTAACAGAACCACAGATTATTATTTCTCATTAAAAACATCCCAAAATCGGGCTGGAGTTGTGGCTCAGTGGTAGAGTGCTTGCCTAGTACACGTGAGACACTGGGTTCAAACCCCAGCACCATATAAAAATGAAATAAAGATATTATGTCCACCTACAACTAAAAAATAAATATTAAAAAAAAATCCCCAAATCAAGTCCCAAATGTAGCACAAGAAAGCTCCTAATCAGTGTTGCTTTCTCACGTTAAGAACTTATTAACTTGAAGATGCCAACACTCCCACCTGGACACAGTTGCACAATCCTGTAATCACAGCAGCTCAGGAGGCTAAGGCAGGTAGACTGCAAGTTCAAGGCCAGCCTCAGCAACTTAGGGAGACCTGAAGCAACTTAGTGGGACTCTATCTTAAAATAAAAAATAAAAAGGCCTGGAATGTAGGGATGTGGCTCAGTGGTTAAGCATCCCTGGGTTCAATCTCTAGTACCAAAAAAAAAAAAGATGCCAAGACTCTCAATTCATGCAAATGCAAATAGTAGACCAGTTTGAAAACTGGTTCTTGGTGAAATCTTACAGACATGTTTTGCTCAGCCAACAGCATTTCTAAAAAACTCTTTCGTCCAATCAAGTAGACTATTTAAGTAAAAAATTCATTCCTCAGTTTCATTAGCCATATTTTAAAGTGCTCTGGGACACATGAAGTTAGTGGTTACCCTAGTAGACAGCACAGATATAGAACATTTCCGTCACTGTGGAAAGGTCTGTTAGATATGCTGTATTTAAATTTCTGAATACTTTTTAAAAAAGATTAACACTGGGGGCTGAGTGTTCGCCTACCACATGTAAGGACCTGGGTTCGATCCTCAGCACCACATATAAATAAAGGTATTGTGTCCAACTACAATGAAAAAAAAAAAAGATTAACGTTGAAAAAAAAAGAACTCTCACAATGAAATACAGATTTCCACCTTCTTTAGAAAAATCATCATCTGGAAAACCTTAGTGGAATTTTTATCTAATGGAATGAGCAGAGTTGAACAGGGCGCTGCCTTCTTTGATGCAAGGTACTTTTATGCTTTTCAGCTCACTGTGGTCTTCATTACTACCTACCATATTATAACATGAACTTGGAGAGGCTGCCTTTGCTAAATTAAGTAGTGACCCTTAGGCCTGAAGATGTCCTATGAGTAAATAAAAGCAAAATAAAGCATGGCATCCCTGCCTTCTTTTGTATCTATCTCCTTTATCACCTTGAATTTGGGGTTGGTGATAAAGGAGAACCCTACTTAGTTCTGCACGCAAACATGCTAATCCTTTAAGGAGTGCTTACCTAAAAACTAGTAACATAAGGTTTATTAGCTCTAAATTTATCTAATCTATTTCATCCCCTTTTAAGACTTAGCATCTTGTTTCAGACTCTTGGAGTGGTACCTAGAAGTCTTCAGTCACTGTCCTACATATTCTAAGAAATCAACCCATGATGAGACTGCCTCTCTAAGCAGAAGCAATCATCTCATGGGAATAGAACTGTTCCCTTCCAGGATCACAGGTTTGATAAACACTCTGAGCAGCAAGTGGAAATTGGCCCCCTCAAGTGATAAGAGCTTCTTCAGAGCCACCTAATAGAATCAGAACTGAGAGAAGGATCAACAAGAGTACAATTTGACCAAGACAGCTTGGTATATATACCTCTTAACCCCTTCCTCTATTTAAAACTAAAGTTCCTATGAGCACCTTAAAGACAGGACTGAGATGCCAAATCTCTGCCTTCCTGATGTGGCCATTTTGACTAAAATTCTTTTCCTGCTTTTCACCATTACCTTTTGTTTGGTCTTGTGGGTGAGTGGCTAGGCGAGGTCTATTGAAACCCCTGATGCCTAGGACTCTAGTAATAATATCTGAACTTCACTTCTTTATGTTACATGCCTGGGTTTCTAAGCAAAATGGAACTATTTCTGCTAATTAAGTTCAACTAAAACAAAATGCCATAGCCTACCTGACATACTTATTTCTAGTTTTTTGGTGAGATTTTTTAGACCACCTAGAAAGAATGTCCAAAGTTCAACTGTATGTCAACCAAATGGTTTTATTTCCGCAATCTACAAAATAGTTAAGTACTTTGCTTCGAAACATTTCATTCAAGAGCATTTAGCATTAGATTTAAAAATATGCATATTATAAAAACAGCTTAAAGAGATCTAAGGAATTTTAGGGTTCTCATTTTATAGATGAGGAAACTAACCTTCAGAAAAATCAAGAAACTCATATAAAGTCAAAATGCTAGAGAAGATCAGAACCAGGGTTCTTTTCACCTTTCCCCTACAAATAGGTAATACATACCACACCATTATAAACCCCAATATATATGTGATGTTGGCATGCTTCTACCAAAAGAGTTACAATCTCAGCTACTTGAGAGGATGAGACAGGAGGATAGCAAGGCCTGCCTGAGCAACCTAGTGAGACACTGTCTCAAAAAATAAAATAGAGGATGAAAACCAATGTTAGCACACTTGCTTACAAAGCAAAAAAGAGAAAAAGAAAGAAAGAAAGAGCCTATGTTTTCTCCTGTTGAATTTGGGCAGAGGTTTCTAACTGCTTTAACCAATGGAATACAGAAGTGATAGTGGATGATCCAAGAACTAAAATAAGGCACTATGGCTTCTGCCCAGCTTGCTCTTCCTCAGAGTACTTGCCTAAGGAAGCCTAGGAAACATAAAGGTAGCCCAATTCACAGCCTCAGCCATGCCCCCAGCTGACAGTCAGCATTAACATGCAGGCATCAGGTGAAGAACTCTTCAGATGATTCCAGTTTCCCAGCTGAGGACCCAGACATCTGAGAGTCAAGATAAATCATCCTTGCTTGGCCTTGTCTCAACTCCTCACCCACAAAAATGAGAGACAAATAACTGTTGTTTTAAGTCACTAAGCTCTAGGGTAACTTGTTATGCAACCATTGTAATTGGGATAGAGTCTTTCAGAAGATCAATGTCTGCCTTATAAATATTCAATAAATATTTGAGTAATGAAATATTGCCCAAGTCAAATGAAATAAAATGGTGGCTTAGCTTACCATTCGGGAGGCACCATGCTTCCATCCACATCCCAGAATGTGTTTTTGCCATTCATTTCAGTAGTATATATAACCCATCGGTGACGGCCTGGGTGGAAAGATGTGAGGAATAAAGGAAATCCTTTTTTTTAAAGTAATAAATGCATGATATCAAAGAAGACATCCTTGTTATTAAAATATTTTTATGTCCTCTTACATAAGAGGACTATGAGAGGAATAATACCATGGGTGTATTAGTGAAGGCAAGCTCCAGCAAGTGTGTGGCTGGCAAGCTTTATCAAAAGCCTGTCTGCCCCCAAGGCAAGATCTCTGAACCAGGGATTAAGACAACTCAGTGATGTGGGTGGGGCTCTGACCTTTCCCAAAGGGAAGAATCCTTGCTTCTCCCCAGTTCCCTGCAGAGGGCAGTATCAGAAAAGTTTACCGGAATGTATTCATAGCTGCTCAGTTTACTCAGAAAAGTGCTCTTCCTGAGATCAGAGCCGATGTATTCACAGTAATCATACTTGAATTATGTTTTCATACAAATGTTTTAAAAAAAACATTTCTGATCCTTTTGAAAAAATATGAACTATATATAATAAGCAAATGTTATAAATGATAGTTAGGTAAGTAGGACAGCTCATATCATCAAAACAGTATGGCTACATTTTTTTAAAAAATATTTATTTATTAGTTTTTTAGGTGGACACAATATCTATATTTTATTTTTATGTGGTGCTGAGAATCGAACCCAGTGCCTCACGCATGCTAGGCGAGGGCGCTACCACTTGAGCCACATCCCCAGCCCCATGGCTACATTTTTTATTTAACACATTTCTGTGCTATAGTTGGCGGTTTAACCACTGCTTACAAAACTGTTTCTATTGGGTTCTGAAATAAACACCCAGGTTTCAATCAGGGCTTTGTTACTTACTATCAGGCAAACGTTATAAGCTTCAGTTTATTTATCCATTAAAAGTAGATGACTATTTCTACATCTTGTGGTTGCTGTGAAAATTAAATATCAAATGCATACACATAGTTCAATACTGGGTGTATAAATACTCAATACATCAGGCACAGGAGTGTACACCTATAATTCCAGTGACTTGGGAAACTGAGGCTGGAGGATTATAGGTTTGAGGCCAGTCTCAGCAACTTAGTGAAGCCCTGAGAAACACAGCAAGAACCTGTTTCAAAATAAAAAGAGGTCTGGGATGTAATTTAGTGGTAAAGTACCCCTGGGTTCATGAGTTCAATCCCCAATACCCCCCACCACCACCTGCAAAATGAAGAATGAATAGTAATTCCCTTTACCTCTTCCTCACTGCCACTAACCCTAACCCTCAAGTTGGGAACATTGAATTTATTCCTATAATAGATCTTAAATCAATAAGCAAAAGGTAATCTGCATTTAGTTTACAGGGTTCTCCTAGGTGAATATATAATCAACAAAGATTGACTAATGTTATTTATATATGACCTTGTTTATTAAAAGAAATTACAGATATCAATCAATATATATTTTCACTTTGGAGAAATCAATCTTTTTAAAAATTTTTTAATTGATTTTTTAAAAAATAAATGACAGCAGAATGCATTACAATTCTTATTACACATATACAGCACAATTTTTCATACCTCTGGTTGTATACAAAGTATATTCACATCAATTCATGTCTTCATACATGTACTTTGGATAATAATGATCATCACTTTCCACCATCCTTGCTAATCCCCTGCCCCCTCCGTTCCCCTCCTACCCCTTTGCCCTATGTAGACGTTCATCTATTCTTCCCATGCTCCCCCTCCCTATCCCAATATGAATCAGCCTCCTTATATCAGAGAAATCATGTGTTTTTTTGGGATTGGCTAACTTCCCTTAGCATTATCTTAGAGAAATCAATCTTAAGGACAGATATGTAAGAGTAAAGTATAATCCTATGAGGCAGGGAAATATGAAGGCAGATGCAGGAAACCTTGAAAAAGGTTTCTTTCATATATTAGGCAATGACAACAGAATTAGGCTCCAATGATAGACCTGGGCCTCAAAAATCTAACATTTTGTTAGACATCAACTACAATATATTTATCCAAATGTTAGAAGTCCATAGTCAGACCCAGCAATTCCACTTCCAAGAATTTATTCTTAGAATATCTAAATGAATATGGATGTAGTTATAAGCAAGTTCCCTGTAGCAAAAAGTAGAAGGCAAGCTAAATGTCTATCAACAGTCAAGAGTTTGAAAAAATAACAGTTCTTCTATAGAGTGGAATATTGTGCTAATTAAAAACAGTGCTGTGATTTTTTTTAAATAAAAAAAAACAAAACTAGGTATTCAAACAAAAAAGAACACTGTAGGTTCATTTAGCTAATAAGGAAAAATGATCCATATTTTTTAATGAAAAATATTTCAGTTTACAAATATGCATAATATAAATAAGTGTAGGTTTATACATTCATTAGAGTCTTAGGTATCTAAGTACAAGCTAATTAAAAGAGGTATTTGATTACAAGGGGGGGAACATTCATTTTTTTACTTCATACACTAAATTTTAATGTTTTACAACAGTATCATTTTCTTAAATTAGCAGAAACGAAGATAGCTGTATTTTCAATGAAGAAAGAAGAAAGAAGAAAGGAAATTAACTTAATCTTAGTTTATAACAGTGATGAGCAGAAAGAATATTGCCCTGGGCTCTGCCACTGTTTCTATTACTTGGTTAAGTCTCTTTGGCTAGGACATTTCTTGGACTTTGGTTTCTTCACCTATAGAACAATAGTTTTTAGATAACCTTTTACAATCTGTTCCAAGTCTAAAATTCTATGGTTTCTATATTGAAAATAGTAATGGTTATAGAGTATGTAAGAAGATACTTAATTCTCATAGACCAAACTGCATTCAATGTAACCATAGCATGGTTTCTATACTCCTAAGAAATATCTTTCACTGTCTGGTGATGATGACCTAGTTCCTCATTTGAAAAATGGGGGAAATGAGGAGACTAAAGTATTTGCCTCAAAGAAATCTTGAAGATTAAAGTACTTGATGAATGTTATTTGTTTAGCATAGCACCTAGCTTTGGTAAACACTCAATAAATGCTAGGTCATTACTTCACATTATATATTTTTCCCTTGGATGAAGACTAGTTGTTTTTTCTTCTTTGATACCTTTCATCTCAATCAAGAGAATTTTTTTTTGAGAATCTTTTTATTATTATAAAAACAACAAAAGCACATAGTAAAAAAAAATCCAACAATTCAAGAAGGTAATAATAATAACAATAATAGCGCTGATATTTACTGAGCACATATGTACCAAGCATTAGGCCCGTGGTTCTCCGGCAATTTTGCCTCACAGGAGGCAAATATCTACAATGCCTGTAGATATTTTTGGTTGTCACACCTGTAGAGAGAAAGTGCTACTTGCACGTAGGAGGTATGTGCCAAAAATGCTGTTGCCCGTTCTACACCTGGGACAGCATGTCACAACAAAGAATTATCTGGCCATGGTGTTAGTTCGAGGTTAAGAAACCCTCCATTAAGATAAGTTCTTCCTGTTCTCTTTTCATCATTTTTTAATACAACTTAAGATGAGAAGACTGAGGCTTAGAGAAGTTAATAAGTTAACCAGGTCACAAGGTTATAAAATGGAGGGATAGAATATTGAACCACCATTATCTGATTCTAAGTTTCTTGTGTTTGGAAATGTAATATGTAAACCAAGAGTATATATTTTCTTCCTTTGAGGATACCAAACATCGTTCTGCAACTGGAGAACTTTGTTATGCATATCTTTAACATCTTTGTATATAAAATTATAGGTATATCATTCTTTTTTTTAAAGAGAGAGAGAATTTTTTAATATTTATTTTTTAATTTTCAGGTGGATACACATCTTTATTTTTTTTTATTTTTAAGTGGTGCTGAGGATAAACCCAGCGCCCCGCACATGCCAGGCAAACGCACTACCGCTTGAGCCACATCCCCAGCCCAAGGTATATCATTCTTAATAACACAAAAGCATTCTAAAAAGTGTTTAAATTCATCATTATCAACTTATACATGATAATGTTGCTTTTGAGATTTATTACTAAAAGCCTGCTGCAATAAGTGTCTTTGTCTCACAAGAATATTTATAGGATGAATTTTTTTAAGTGCTGAGACAAAAGATAAATGCAGTATAATTTTTCACAAATATTGCCAAACTGTCCTCCAAAATGCCTGAATTAATCTATTCTATCCCTTTCCCCAAACTGGGATATGTCCCCACATGGAAAAGTACCTCTAACTTTGTTAAGTTGCATTCTTGTAATATCAAGTGAGGATTAGCATTTCTCATACTTTTGTTAATCATTTAGTTTTTCTCTATTGAGTTTTTCATTTTTTTCCAAGTAAGAGCTCCTTTGTACGGTATGAAAAATAGACTCCTATCAAATCCCAAACCCAAATGCCAAAAATACTGCACTCACCAAAAAATTGCTTGTTGTCTTCATAGTATTTGTTTCCATATTTGTCTTCCCCCACTAATGTACCAACTCTCACATCATTTGCTCTGTAATTATCCCAAAGAAAACAGACATTTTAGAATGATTCATTGTTCACAACAAACCAAAATGAAGTGAGAATACCAACTTTCAGACACAAAGGCTGCTACATCAATTAGAAAAATGAGTTGCTGTGGATGGTCACTGGTTGTATACTTCTAGCCTTCACCTCCAGGCTCTTGCCACTTAATACTGAAGAATCAGCTTTCAGGTTAAGAACTCTAGTCTTAACTTAGCTCATGCTGCCTCACCGTCCCAGTATCATGCAGACAGGATGGGAAAAGATAAACTAATGCAACTAATGCGCTTAAATTACACTAAAAATACAAATGTAGCATATTCAAATTATAGGACTTTTATCTACTATCCCTGTGCAAACAAATTTGGAATAAGCAAATCCTCCAGGAAGTCAGGGAGCCAAAGTATTTCCTCTTTTATTTATTTACTTTTTTTTTGTACTGGGGATTTATCCCAGGGGGGAATTAACCATTGAGACACACTCCCTGCGCTTTTAATTGTTTGAGACAGGGTCTCGCTAAATTGCTGAGACTGGTCTCGAACTTGCAATCCTGTCGCAACCTCCCAAATCGCTGGAGTTACAGGTGTTTGCCACCGTGCCCAGGGCTTCATCTTCTAAAAATGATTCAAATATTTCTTGGTTCTTTCATTCCACTAGGTTTCCAAATCGTTTTCGGGGAACTATGTGCCCGTCAGGGATGTTTGGAATAGTGAAGACCATTTTGGTTACCTCCTTCAATCTCTTATCGCACTGGGAGGGAACTGAAGGATAGTTCAAGGAAAAAACTTTCCCAAGGTCACCATGTGAACGTCTCTGATAATGCTCATTACACTCCAGGGGGCGGGGATGCTCCATCTCTAGAGATGGCTTCAGTTCTGTCCTGTGGACGCCCGGGACAGACTTCGACCCGGGGATTGCAAGGCAAAGATTGGGCCGGCTGTCCTTGAGATTCTCCAAGGTGACCCAAGCCTGGGACCCTCCTCAAGGAACCAAGCAATGCAAATCCAGCCCCAGAAACCAAGAGCATAGCTCTAGACGCCTACCTGAAGAAAACTCGCAAATAGCCACGGAGACCGCCGTGGCCACTGACCTGCTGCAGCCCGCGTTTCAGGACCTGCAGCAACTCCATCTTGCCTGGCAGGCCCCGCCTTCCGGGTGAGCCGTGCAAAACCCACCCGGCGGAAGCAGCCACTCAGCCGCAGGGAGCTGACGCGCTGAAGGTTCCGACACTCGGCTCTGAGCGTGCGCAGAACTGCAACTTTCCTGCACGGTGACTTTCCGACTTCCTAAATGGGCGTTGTCGGTTCCTCAGTAAAGCAAAGGCACCTTAAACTTTAATGTTGTCAGAGGTTAAAAAAAAAAAAAAAATGTTGTCAGAGGTTGCACCTAGAAGGCGAGTGTGTGGTGGAAAGCTCGGCTTCACAAGGCTTTCCAATACAAGGGGTTCCTCCTTTGGAAATTTGTTTCTTCATTTAAAAAGGTTTGGCTCAGACTATTCCAGAAATCCCTTCCAGCACCAAGATTCCTTAGAAACGAGATAACTATTAAGGAATTTACTACTGACCACATAGGAGTACACATGAAATGGGGTACATATATTGGTGATGTGTTGGCAGGGGAGTCTCACCCTTTGCTCTTTTAGACTCCATTCCACCATATCATTTCTTTCAAATGTCAAGATTTATGTTTATTCTGTAATTATACATTTTCCTAATTTTAAGATAGTTTTAAAAATGGAAACAATATTATTTCTTGAAGGACCAAGTAATAAGACTGCACCCTGAGAAATAATGTAATTTTATGTTAGTAATTCTTCAATTCCAAAGGAGAAATTTCCAATACCAGGATCAAATTTTCCTAGACTCATCAATTGTTCAAAATCGTGTCATAGGGGCTGGGGATGTGGCTCAAGCAGTAGCGCTCGCCTGGCATGCGTGAGGCGCGGCCCGGCCCGGGTTGGATCCTCAGCACCACATACAAACAAAGATGTTGTGTCCGCCGAAACTTAAAAAATAAATAAATAAATAAATAATATTTTTTTAAAAATCGTGTCATATTTGAATTTATTTTGAACCGTGATTTATATGCACTTAAAATTTTTTACCTGAAATATTTTTGAAGTATATCTAAGAACTCTTTCAAAAACATAACTACATCACCATTATACTGCCTTAAAAAGTTAACAGTAATTCCTTAGTATCATTAAATATCCAAAGGAATGTACAAATGTCCCTAGTTGGTCTTTTATTTTCCTAATAATTTCTTTTTTTTTCCAGTTTGCCCATATAAGATCCACACATTGTAAATGGTTGATTTTTAAAAAAAAATATTTTCTTTAAATTTATAGCCTCCCTCTGCTGACTCATAGTGGGGTAGGGAGGGGGAGCATGGGAAGAATAGATGAATTCTAGATAGTGTAGAGGGGAGGAAGGGAAAGGGAGGAGGCAGGAGATTAGCAAGGATGGTGGAATGTGATAGACATCATTATCCAAAGTACATGTATGAAGACATGAATTGGGTGTCAACATACTTTGTATACAAAAAGATATATGAAAAATTGTGGTATATATGTGTATTAAGAATAGTAATGCTGTTATTTGTTTATCAATAAAAAAGAAAATAAACAAATAAATAGATTTATAGCCTCCCCCCTTTTTTTTTCTTCTTTCCTTTTAATTTGTTAAAGAAATAGCCTATTTTTCCTATAATTTTTCATTGCTTGGAGCTTGGTAATTGTGTACTAGTGATACTCTATCCTGTTTTTCCTGTATATTTGTACTTAGACCTAGATGTTTGACCAGTTCTGACTTCTTTCTTTTTCTCCCTTTCTTTTTCAGTACTGGAGATTGAACCTAGGGCCTCACACATACTATGTACACTTTCTTCTTCTTTTTTTAAACTCTCTTTTTTTAATATTTATTTTTTAGGTGTAGATGGACACAACACAATGCCTTTATTTTTATGTGGTGCTGAGGATCGAACCTGGGTTCTGCCCGGGCTAGGTGAGCGTTCCACCGCTGAGCCACAATCCCAGCCCCATACTATGTACACTTTCTACCACTGAGTGCCACCTCCAGGTTTTGAGTTATTTTTACTGTTAAGTATACTTCGAAGGTAGCCAGAGCCTTTCTTCAGAGAGCACATGGTGTCTGCACATGGTGCTTTTAGCCATCCTTGATGAGCACTGCCTAAATACTTCCATTCCTTTTCATTTATTAACCACAATTCTTCTATAAAGAGTAACCTGCCCTTAACTATTTGGTTCCTGAGATACTGTTCATATAGGAAAGGCAAGATGTTCTTTATCCTCTCCCTTATGCAACAGTCTTTAAAATAACAATTTTGGGCTGGAATTGTGGCTCAGTGATAGACTGCTTGCCTGGCACGTGTGCACTGGGTTCAATTCTCAGCAATCATATAAATAAATTAATTAAATAAAGGTCCATCAACAACTTAAAAAAATTTATTTAAAAGAAAAATTTGGCTTCTTAGCAGTGTGCTTTGTGCATGTGTGTGGTAAAAAAACAAAAATTTAATCTTTCCAGGGATGGTACACATGCCTGTAATCCCAGAGATTTAGGAGGCTGAGACCAGAGGATCACAAGTTCAAGACCAGCCTCAGCAATTTAGCAAGGCCTGCAGCAACTCAGTGAGAACTTGTTTCAAAATAAAAACTAAAAAGTGCTAGGGATGTGGCTTAGTGGTAAAGTGCCTGTGAGTTCAATTCCCAGAACCAATCTCCCCCCACCATAAATAAAACCCCAACTTAACCATTTTTACATATACAATAATGTTAATTACACACACATTATTGCACAACATCTCTAGAACTTATTCATTTTGCAAATATTAAATTGTATACCTATTAACAGTTCCCCCCTCCTTTATCCCTGGGGAAGATACCATTCTACTTTTTGTTTCCAAGAGTTTGACTACTTCAGACATTTATATAAGTGAATTCATGTAGTAGTTGTCTTTTTTGCAATTGGCTTCCTTCACATAGCATAATGTCCACAATGTCCACCCATGTTGTAGTATATGACAGTGTCTTCTTTTTTAAAAAAAGTATTTATTTTTTAGTTGTAGTTGGACACAATACCTTTATTTCACTTAATTATTTTTATGTGGTGCTGAGGATTGAACCCAGAGTCTCGCACACGTGAGGCAAGCGCTCTAATGCTGAGCCACAAACCCAGCCTGACAGGGTCTTCTTTTAAAAGCCTGAATAATGTTCTATGTTACATATATACCAGCTTTTCTTTATCATTCATTTGTCCATGTCTGTTGAGAGCCACAGCCTAAGGGGCCCCAGCAAACTTCCAGCTGCCAGCAAACTTCCAGCTGCCGGCTGATGATTGGCTCACAGCAGCCCCAGCAACATCTAGCTGATTGGCTCCTCTGCGGTGATGCTCATTGGACTGTTTCCCTGCCCTTTCAGACCACGGAGCTGCTCATTGGGGGACTTTTTTGGCTCCGCCCACATGACCCAGCCAATCGGCCTCAAGAGCAGGGGGATTGTGGGAGGTGGAAAGAAGCTTGTGTGGGAGAGAGAGGCTTGTGGAAAGCCGGTGGTGGCAGTTGAGGCTCTGAGGGTTTTTCCTGAGAGGCTGTTTTGTTTGGCGTGTGTGGTTCTAAAAATAAAGTTAGTTTCTTTTGACAAGTGGCTCCTGATTGTGCCCAGCCAGACTGCGGCATTTGGTGGCTCGCACGGGGAGCGACTGAGGGTAAGTGAAACTGCTCGCCCCTGAGGGCAGGGCGAGAGGATGGGTAGCCATTTTAAGATTCCTCTTTTATTTTGCTTCACTTTTGTTTTAAGTTGCCTGTCCCTGGAGATGAGTGAGACGGAAGAAAAACCGCTCACATCTGAGGAAAAACTATTTACGTCTGAGGAACAGATAGGGAGAAAGGACGGATGCACATGTCAGGAGGATAGAAAGGCTATAATGACTTTTTGTTGTTCCCTTTTTATTTCATTCTGTCTCGGTTTTGTTTGGCGTCATCTTGTTGGGTTGTATTATAGTAGAAATACGGGATCAGAAATTAGTAAAAAAAAAACTGAAAGAGTGTTAAGTAAATTGTTAGAGGAAGGAGGCATCTCAGTAAAATCAAGAACAATCAGGGCATACGTTGATACAATACAAAAATGTAGCCCATGGCTTTTTAAGGAGGAGTTGTTAAATATATCACAATGGAACCATCATGGTGAAGATTTAAAAAGAATAGAAAAGAAAAGCCCAGGGACTCTACCAGTTGGCACATTGCCATTGTGGACGTTCATATCTTGTTTGCTTAGTCCAAAGCCTTCAGTTCAGACAATGGTAGAGGAAGGAGAAGACATAATGATTCAAGTAAAAGAGAAGGTCTCTCAAGTTAGTCAGACAGAGGAAAAGATTCAAGTAAAAGAGAAGGCCTCTCAAGCTAGTCAGACAGAGAAAGAAAGCGTAAAACAGAAAAAGCCATCAGGGGGAAAGTTACAACAGGAGACTGCTACTAACACCTTTCTATCACCAGAGGGTGTAAGTGTCCAACCAACAGCACCACCTCTACAGGAGACTGCTACTAACACCTTTCTATCACCAGAGGGCATAAGTGTCCAACCAACAGCACCACCTCCATATGCTGGGAGGCCCCCAACCCCCGCAGTTGATAGTTGGGATCCTGAGACAAGATCTCAAATATTAACATACCCTGTATTTGAGGCAGGAGGGCAGCGATTTTACCAAGTTTTAAATTTCAAAACAGTGAAGCAGCTAAAAGAGGCTGTAACAACCTATGGTCCTCAAGCACCCTTCACTGTAAGCATGGTCGAATCCATTAACAACTTGAACATGACGCCAGCAGATTGGGCTAATATGTGTAAAGCTGTGCTAAATGGAGGACAATACCTGTTATGGAAGGTTGCCAATGAGGAATTTTGCAAGGAGACGGCTAGGCGAAATGCAGCAGCTGGTTATCCTCAGAGAAATCTAGATATGTTGTTAGGAAAGGGACCTTATGAGGATCAGCAGCAACAAATTGCATATGATCCTGGCATATACGCACAAATTGCTGCAGATGCAATTAAGGCATGGTAGACTTTACAAGGACATGGAGGTTTACAAGGTCAATTATCTAAGGTAATACAAGGAGCTAATGAACCTTATGCTGAATTTGTAGATAGGCTTATTCAAACAGCTACCAGAGTTTTTGGGAATACAG